CCTCGACCCTGGACCCCTCATGCTCCACCCTGGACCTCGGCAGCCCCACGCCCTCGACCCTGGGCCTGGACCCCTCATGCTCGACCTTGGCACCTCGCCGGCCCCCAAACCGTGTCTGGAGCCTTGGGGCCTACGTACTCGAGGACAGAGTGCGTGGCAGCGTTTGGGTGGTAGCGGTAGAGGAGGAGGCTCTGGTCCACGCGGACGACCCCACCGCCCTTTCTGAGGTGGTTGTAGAAGAACAGCAGGTCCTCGGGCACACCCTGCAGGGCACAAAAGAAAGTCAACCATTGCTGGTGTTTCTGCCCACGACAGAAGACACACCTGTGTCCAATGCTTCCCGCATTGTGTGCATTAATTCAGGCAACTGGAGATGGGGCGTCACGCCCGGCCTCACGTGCAAGGTTCCAGCGAGCGACCCACGTGCCCAGCCACCGAGCATGCAGACAAGGAGGTCATCTCAAGACAAGGAGGTGCTGATGGTGAAAAGCAGGGGCTGACGGGGCAGACCAAAGCCACCAGCATCACCCTCGCGTACGCCTCCAGCCTGAGAAACGGCCCTCCCCGCTGACAGGGCCTCCGCTCTGCAGGGACCTGAGAGCTTTCTCCTGGGTTTCCCTGGCTTGTGAGTACTCAGCCCCCACCCTCCTGCTAGCCAGTCGGGCGGCCAAGCTCAGCCTTGACAACGGAAGCTGGAAGCCAGACACCAGGTCTGCTCCCTTGACTTTCCTGAATTCAGAGGGAAAATCAGGTGAGCGGAGGGGTCTGGATCTTGCTCACCTTCCTGGCTGTCAACAGCACGGGACTACAGGTATACCAATGAGCAGAGCCCAGCGATGCTGGGGCCTGGGCACCCACGTCACCAGGAGGCGTGGCCCCAGGCAAAGGCCGGTTTCCTGACTGCTGCCTGTCCCACCTCCGGGCCAGCTCGCAAGTGCCGTGTTTGGTTTCGTTTAGTTTAGCGCCAGTCCCACAGCTGAGCCGACTGCGTCCAGTAAGGCCCGTGGCACTGAACTTTGGCCTCTCCAGGGCCTCCGGGCTGCTGCCTGGTTTGCCTGTCTCCTCAAGAGGAAGGTCGCACAGCTGGCCCAGCAGAGCCTGGTGGCCGGGCGCCCTCGGGAGATGGAGCCCCCGGGGCAGATGCCACCTTACCAGCTGCGCCGGGCAAGCCCGTCCCCAGACTGGCCGCCTGCACCAGGTCTCAGCAGGGTCGGCAGTACACCAGAATACTTCGTCTGCTGGCTGAACAGGAGGGCGGCTGCTGCACACTGCTGGAAAGGTGAGCCACACCTGGAAGTCAGCTGGACTGGGTGCACTTCCTGACTCGGCTCCTGTTCCCAAAGCCGGCCCCGAAATGCTAGTTAGTGCCCACGTCTGTCCATCTGGCTCTGTAAAGCCACCACTGACCTGGGAGTCCTGGCCAAGGAATCTCAGACACACTTGGTTTTATCGAGGGCAACCCCGAGCCGGCGTCCGAAAGACCCCACGTGCGCCCAGCAGTGACAAAGCAGGCTCAAGGGAGCCACGGGGGCAGACCCCGCGACGCCCCACAGCGGTCTGGCTAATGGTGGGGAAAGTCAGGAACACTGTCGTTCCCGACATGGGGGCGGACAGACTTGAAGGACTAATTTCTACAGAGACTGATAATATGAAAGATGTATAGTAAAATGTAAAAACTCAAGTTTCACAACTGTTTCCAGCTCTGCTGAAAGTCTGTCCACAGTAAAATAAACACAAAGGAGCCACGCCTGAAGCTCAGATCCGCTGTGTGGTGATGGGGTCACAGGTGATTTGTATTTTTTTTCTAATTCTCTGCATGTTCAAAGGCACCTTTATTTTTACAAAAGACTTATTTATTTGAGAGAGAGAGTGCATGGCGGGGAGCAGCAGAGGGAGATGGAGAGGGAGAAGCAGGCTTCCCGCGGGGTAGGGAGCCCAACACGGGGCTCGATCCCAGGACCCTGGGATCAAGACCTGAGCCGAAGGCAGACGCTTAACTGACTGAGCCACCCAGGTGCCCCAGAAGTACCTTGAAAGAGCAAATTTTAACTCTGCACACTTTACAGCTTTAGGAAAAAGGTGCCCTTTCTTCTGATGACCTGGAAGAACTCACCCTCAGGGTTTCCTTATTTCTGGCAAGAAGGAAAGTGAGAATTTAGCTGGAGGCAGCACTGGGCACCATGGCTCCCGGCGAGGCGGGGCGTCTGTTCCACTGGCCCTCCACTCACGGTTCCTCGGTTTTCACTCCTCCCCTCCTGGTGGGCTCCCTGGTGGGCACGTGTTCACCAAGAACACTCAGGCTCCTCTGGCCAGCCAAAAACTCTGGACAGAGGCCGTGACAGCAGGGGTGACGTGGCCTGGGGAGCCAAGGAAGCTGGGGTAGCTGAGCCCATGGCGGGAGGGTTCCCGGGTGCACTGAATGGTCCTGTGGGTGGGGATGTAGTGGGCAGGGCAGGCACACCCCTGAGACGTGTGAAAGGGGACTGGGATCTCGTGGGACAGAAGGAAGCACAGAACGGGCCACCGCCTCTCACGCCAGCCCCCACACACCCCAGAAAAGCTGCTGCGCTTCCCTGCAGTGGCAGGAGGGGGTGGACTGCATGAACCCCGAGAATGCAGGGATGCAGAAAGTCTTCATCTGGACGGAGCTGGTGTGAGATGAAAGCAGAAAACCAAACGCTCCCACGACACAGAAGACCCCAACCATGAGACAGACCAACACTGAGCCCTCCCAGCACCTGAGAGCATGAGGGAAGCCCCCAAGTCAGAAGGCCAGGATGCACAAAGGAGTCCTGGAGGAGGGTGGGGCAGATGGTGCGGGCCCGGCTGGCCGAGGTGCACGGCTCTCAGGCACACGGCCCTCTGGCAGCACACGGTGGTGAGGTGGTGCCTGTGGATTCGCTAGAATACATCAAACTGCACCTTCTCACAGAGGAAATGGATGGTATATGAATTACATCTCAATAAACCTCCAAAATAACAGAGGGTGGATTGAATTCAAAAAAGAAACAGAAAGGGAGCGCCTGGGTGGCTCAGTTGGTTTAGCGTCTGACTCCTGATTTCAGCTCAGGTCATGATCTCAGGGTCATGGGATCGAGCCCCGCGTCAGGCTCCCTGCTCAGCAGGGGTCTGCTTGTCCCTCTGCCTCTGCCCCTCCCCACATTCACACGTTCTCTCTCAAATAAAATGTTAAAAAAATAAAAATAGAAAGAGACAAATACAGAAATAACCACTAGAACAAAATATAAACCTTCAGTACCAAGAGGAATTTAAGTAACCCAAGAGTGGGTGGCGGCTCCTGGCTCCAGTTGGCCGAGTAGCTGTCCCTGCAGAGGTGACGGCCGTGCCCAGTGTGGAGGCCGCGGGCGGGACAGCCTGAGCCACACCGTGGGGCAGGGACAGAGCAGACAAACCGGGGATGGAAGCCTCAGCCTCACTGCCCCGAAGCCCACAGGACAGAACTTGGGAGGCGCAGGCAAGTGGAAGTGAGGACATCCCAGAACACAGAAACCAAGATGGGAGGAAACATCCACAAGCAGGTACTTGACAGAGAATACCGACAACCTGACAACCGCAAAACCACCCACTTGAAAGTGGGCAAAAGATTTGGACACTTCACAAAATAAATGGCCAATCGGCACATAAAAATTGTTCAACACCCTTAGTCATCTTGGAAAATGCAAATAAAAGCGGGAAGCCTCAGCCTCTGGCAGGGATTCTGGGGGCTGCACAAGGTGGGGGAGGCGGGCGGCCTCTCCTCTCACGTGGCAACCCCAGCCGGGGCTCCTCCCATCAGAAAAGCACATCGGAAAAGTGTCTGCTGCGTGGCCAGCCTCTCTGGGCCTCCGGTCCGGCCCGTGGCTGTGACGAGCCTTCTCCAGCCCTTCCCACCCAGGCCAGCCTGCTCTCAGAAGGCATGTTCAGAACCAACAAGAGGCCCTTTTGTTACTTTTCTTTTTGTGGAAGGGCCTGAACTGGTTGCCCAGAGGGGGCGTTCAGATTCCTCAGCCTGGCAGCCAACGCTGCTTACCGCGGCTGGATGCCATCCCGGGCCATGACTTTACCGGCCTCCAAATCTCAGACTCCTGTCCCCCTCCTAGACTGCCTCTGCAAGTGCATTTCCACCTTGCACGTTCCCGCTCACAGCCACTGTTTCCATGCCCCCTTGGGCCCAGCTCACTTGCGGAGTCTTGCTGCCACCCCGGTCTGCACCTTGGTCACCCCCACATCACGTAGCACCTGGACTGTTTCCTGCTGCTTCAGCCACTTGCCCTTCTGTCCACAGAGTAGGAACCACAAGCTCTTGGCCCTGGATAGACCTTGGTTCTTCACTAAGGCCCACGGAGAATTACTTGAGGATCAGTCCCCAAACCCATGTCCAGCTCTCAGGGCTTCTGTGTTCCCCTTGGAGCACACTCCCTGAATAACTTCAGCTCTTCTTTCTCTGGGAATGGCATTAAAGAACGATGGAAACACTTGATGTTCTTGTTGTCCTGGTGGTGGGCTCTGCTGCCTTCTGTGATCTGCCTTTTTATGCCCCAGACCCCCCACTTGCTCCAGCCACAGCCCCATCACAGATCTAGTCCTGGCCCCTGACCCCTGGTCCCTTCTTCCTGATCCCAGATCTCTAGTCCCTGATCCCTAATCTCTGGTCACTGATCCCTGATCTCTGGTCCCTGGTGCCTGATCTCTGATACCTAGTGCCTGAAATATGATCGCTGGTCCCCAATCTCTGGTCCCTGATCCATAGTCCCTTAACTATGATCTCTGATCCTTGGTCCCCGATCTCTGGTCTCTGGTCCTTGAACTCTGATCCCTGGTCTCTGATACCTGGTTTCTAGTCTCTAGGTTCCTGATCTCTGACCTCTGGTCCCTGGTCCTTGGTCTCTGATCCCTGATCTCCAGTCCCTGGTCCTTGATCTCTGGTGCCTGACCTCTCATCCCTGGTCTCTGATCCCTGATGCATGATCTCTAATCTTTGGTCTCCAATCTCTGATCTCTGATTCAGATTTCTGATCCCTGGTCTCTGATCTCTGATGCCTGATATCTGATCTCTGGTCCCTGAACTCTGCTCTGGTCTCTGACCCCTGATATCTGATCCTTGGTGCCTGGTCTCTGATCTCTGGTCCCTGAGCCCCCATACAAAGCCCCCATGGATGGGCTTTCTTTTCCCCCAGGTGCTTCTCCGGGAAGAATTACTTTGAGCTAAAAGGCTTGATGTACTTTGAATCCTCAGACTGCTCGGGGCTGTGAGTTAAGGATGTGTCAAATCTTTCTATCAGTGTTTCCCAGGGAATGTCTCCTGATGCCCATTTCTGGGCTATTTTCTGCAGAAGAATATGAAAGCAGGTGCTTAGATCCAGCTCCAACGAGAACAGTGGCTTTTTGTGGCACCTGCTAGAAGGGGGGAGTCTTGCTGGGCTTCCCTTCACCAACCCCGTTGGCATACTGTCAGGGAGAACTTGTTAGCTGAGAGGCCCCCCTAAAAAGAAAGCTCGGCCATCTCTCCTGCCTTGGTGCCTGCTGCCCCTGGTGGGGCTGAGGTCCCTGAGACTGGGGGCCCCTGGGCAGGGTCATGCCACATGAGTACAAGTTCTCTCCCAGTTGTATGAATTTGGGGGAGAAACAGAAACACAGGGATGGTGCCCAACACCCTAAAGTCATGAATCGGCATAGCTCCGTGACAAAGTGACCTGGTCTCCCATCCTGGCAGGGGGGCAGAGGGGAAGGTCGGTCAGTGCACAGCAGGGTGATTCACGTGTCTGCGAGGTGTGGCCCAGGCCACGGGCCGGAGAAGCACGGTCGGGTGGTGGCACCTGGCTCCCTGCTCGGGCCACCCTAGGGACACGAGGTGTTGCTGGTGGCAGCCTGGCATGGTGGGGAGACCTGCTTGGGGCAGGCCCCTGGTCTACACCGTGGCGCAGACGCTGCTGGCCGATGCCTCAGGGGCTCTGGCTGGTAAATGTGTGAGAATGGCACTATTCCTGGAGGGTGTGTCTGGTGGCTGTGAGGGACACGGTCCAGCACGTGGGGCGGTGGAGGCTTTCCCTCCAAAATGACAGGCAAGGGCTGGGTGGGATCAGGGTGGGGTTGGCCCTGAGCTGAGGGTCCATGTGGCTGACTCTGACTTCCCTCGACAGGAGGGAGGTAGGCTCAGAGCAGAAGGACAGTGGCCAAGGTCCCAGGGCAGGCGGTGGAGCCTGGGTCTGAGTCGCCACCCCTGCCTCCCAGCCTGGGGTCTCCAGACCCCCAAGAACTCCGTGGCCCCGACCCTCTGCCAGCCTCTGTGTCCAGGCTCCCTCCTGCCCCCAGCCCAGCAGTTGGTGGGGGCGTGGTGTGGGGCCTCATCAAAGGTCCAACAGTGCAGGCCTGATGGGCCCCTCACATACCCGATCCACTCACTCCCACCACGGAGACCGGACCTCACATTCTCAAAACCTAATTTAAGGGAAGTCTGAAGGAAAATAAACAAACTGACCGTAAGATTTCCTTTTCAATTGGGTGTAGGAGCATTAACTGTAAGACTGTTTGTGGGGTGGGGCAGAGAGAGCAGGCTAGAGGCCAGGTCCCCATTTCTGGGGCACACACTAGAGACCAGTGTGGGCTGAGCTCTGCAGGTGGGGCCCCGCAGGTAGGAGAGGATTTAGAGGAAGAGCCCATCCCAGTTTGGCCAGAATGCCCAGGGCCACCGGCCCCTCTCCTAAGGTCATCCAGAGGCAGCATGGATGTGGACAACGTCCACATCCTGCACTTTGCCAAAAACAGCTTTTAAACCAGGATGAGGAAGCCTGGGGTCTGGGCCAGGCAGGTGTGAATCAGGTACAGATGCCCTGGGCGCCTGCAGCCTTCACATGGAAATCCCAAGTGGGTGCCAGGGCTCCAGATGCTCTCTGGACGCTCAGCCCAGCCAGCAGGAGAAGTGCTGGAAAGGCCTTCACAGAAGACGTTTTCTGAATCCCCGGATCCCCAGAGGGAGCACAGCACCCACAAGCAGGTAGGGCTGGGGGATTCACACCCAGGGGATGACAGGGCCTCCCCTGGCCCGAGAGGAGGGGATCCACAAGGGGCCCATACTTACCTGTCCGCCCTCGTCAAATGGGCCCACGTGGGAAAACCATGCTCGAGAGCAGAACCAGGTGGGCATGATCACAGTTGGGCCATTGGAGGTAAAAACCTAGAAGCAATTGACACTAACATAATTATCAGGAAAGAACAGCTTGTCACAACTTACAATTTATTTTCCACAAAGTAGAATTCAGAAAGTGACAAACGAATCTGCCCTTCTTTGTAGGAACAGGAGTTCGAGGGACTTTACAGACAGATCCACAGTATCTGGTGCCCAAGGCCAACAGATGGGGGGGAGAGGGGCCACAAGAATCAGTGGCTCCACCTGGGTCCTGTTCCCGGGTGAACGCTCACTGACTGGGTTCAAGAAGGAGGCACCCGCTTTTGACTGATGGTAAAGTTTCACATGAAAACAAAAAACAAACACGCAGCTTTTAATTCTGACATGAAAAAACTGAAACAGCAAAAAAGTTAGCTTAGATGAAATGGATGGATTCCTCCAAAGACACAAACCATTGAAACTGAAGAAGAAACAGAAACTATGACTAGATCTATAACAAGGGATTGAGAGAGCAGTTTAAAAAAACCTACAACTTCCCACAAAGAAACGCCCAGGTCCAGAGGGCTTCATGAGTGAATTCTATCCAATGTTAAACGAATTCATATCAATCCTTCACAAAGTCTTCCAAAAAAACAGAGGAGATGGCAGGGACACTTCCTGACTCATTCTATGAGATCAGCACTACCCTGATACCAAAGCCAGTTGAAAATATCACAAAACTATACACCAAGATCCCTTATGAATACAGTTGCAAAAATCTTCAACAAAGAACTAGTAAACTGAGTCCATCATTATATAAAAAGGATTCTACACCATGACCAAGTGGAATTTATCCCAGGATTGCAAGGTTGGTTCAAAGTATGAAAACACAGGTCATGTGATAGACCATATTCATAGAACAAAGGATGACACCACACAATCATCTCAATAGATGCAGAAAAAGCATTTGACAAAATCCAACACCTTTTCATGACAAAACCAGTCAGCCTAGGAGTTTGCAAAACTCCACAGCTGATATACTTAAAATGGTGTGACACTAAATGCTTTTCTTCTAAGATGAGGAATAAGACATGAATATATGTTCTGACCACTTCTATTCAACATTGTGCTGAAGTTCTACTCAGAACAAGTAGGAAATAAGAAAAATAAAAGGCATTTTATAATACTTGGGAAATGAAGAAGTAAAATGGTCTCAATCTGCAGATGACACAATCCTGTATGTAGAAAACCCAAAGGAGTACAAACACACACACACCCTTGCACTAATGAATGAGTTCAGCAAAGTTCTGGGATACAAGATTCACATACAAAACTCAATTGTATTTCTATGTAATGAACAATCCAAAAATGAAGTCAAGAAAACACTTTGATTTACAACAGCGTGAAAAAGATACTCAGGAATAAATGTAACAAGAGTGCAAAACTTTACACTGAAAATCGAAAAACATCTTTGAAACAAATCAAAGACCTAAATAAATGGAAGGACATCCCATTTTCATGGACTGAAAGATTAAATATTAAGATGTCAATACTTCCCAATTAATCTACAAAATCAACAACGTGATGAGAAGTCTTTCAACAAACAGTCCAGAACAACTGGACATCCACATGCAACAGCATAAAGTTGTACCCTTACCTCACACAATATACAAAATTAATGCAAAGTGGATCACAGACCTAAACACAAGACCTCAACCCGTAAAACGTGTAGAAGGAAACACGAGTGTGAGTCTCCATGACCTTGGGTTAGGCAGTTTCCTAGGACACCCAAAGCACAGGCAACCAAGGAAAAACAGACGAACGGCACCACTTCGCGCACCTGCTGAAAACAAGGACTTGCACGTCTGAGCGGGGTGAACTCCGCGGCATACGAATTCTAGCTCGATAATGACGTCGGCGAAACCCACGACGCGAACAGGGCGCCGGGCGGCTCGGGGCCTGACTTCAGGGCCTGACATCGCGCCCCGCCCCCGCCGTGGGGCCCGTTTAGGACTCTCCCTCCCTCCCTAAAAAACGAAGCAAAACAGCACCGTGTGTACAACACACGTCAAAACCAGAACCCGAAGCAGGAGCGAAAACTGAAGGGTCCTTTAGCAAGCAGATCGTGTCCACGTTAACAGTAACACTGCCCGCTGTCTCACCAGCAAAGAAGGGTGCTCTGTATTAGCAGAGAATCCCAACCCAGGACGCACAGGTCCTACCGCCACCACGGGCAGGTCCGGAGGGAAAGCAGAGGAGGCTCTTTTTATAGGGGGTGGGGGGGGGGGGGGGGGTTGGACTGTTGTAAACAGAAAGTCCATTGGAGTAAGCTGGGAGCTGGAAGTGTGGTGGCTTCTCATTGGCTGGGCTGTGGCCGCCTCCCATTGGCTGGGTTGTGGCCGTCTCCATTGGCTGGGCTATGACCCGCTCGCATTAGCTAGGCTGTCTGCCATTGGCTGGGCTGTGACCATCTCCCATTGGCTGGGCTGTTGCCGGGGCAGCAGGAAACCTTCCGTCCCGGAGCGGGGTTGGTAAAGCGGTACCCACCTGCGAGGTGCCTCTCTTCCTGGTGGGTCTGTAACTGATAACCAGTGCTGGGCACAGAGCTCCCCCTGCCGGCCTCTACCCCAGCCTAAGTGAGGTTTCCTCGCTTCAGTTAGAACATTTGGAGTGATTCCACACAACATGTAACTGTATGGAGGAAATTTACCAGCTGCCAATGACTGCTGAGATCATACAGGATTTATTTTCTGTATTTTCTGGATTTCTTAAACATCAACAAAAAGGCAAGATTATAGTCGGAGAAAAAGGTAGCTCCACCTTGAGAAAACATTTTTAGGAAAAAAATTTGAGAACAATATATGTAACTATATATTTAGTTTTATAATCAATGTAATTTCTTTGGTTTATAGAGAAGACACTCAAAGTTTTATGAATGGAATCATTAATTTTGTTTTCTGAAAATGCTTTCTGTGTACAAGATTGATATACGTTCATTGATACAAAATATAGAACATCATGCAGAAAAAACTAAAACCATCCCTAATTGTACCACCCAGATAAATCAACTATTACATTTATGGTGTGTTCCCTTCCAGGCTTTTTACCTTGCGGAAAACATTGCAGAATGTGTACCAGGGTGTGTGCACACAAACCATGAGCCTCTCTGCCACCCACAGTCCTCACACTTCTGTTAGGGTTTCTTTGGGGGCAGCATCTCCGTGCTGGGCACGCACAGGTACGGGATGTCCTCCCCGGATCTCTCCTCCCACAGTCTTCCCTGACCTCCAGTTGCTCCTTCTTCAGGGACTTCTTTTATCTTGAGCATCTCAAGTCACACCCTAGAATGCTCCTGCCCCTGCTTCAGGACGACAGGACTTCGAAGGTCCTATGTGTGCAGTGAGGGCACCTCCCAAGCGGGTCGCCCTACCTGGGACAGGCCCTGGTCCCGTCCGTGGGAGCCAGGGGTTTCTGAGTGGCAGTGGGCTCTGCTGGCACCTCCTTGGGGCCCAGAGGGTGGAGAGGGAGCCCCGTCTCCCTAATGAAAACAAATGGTGATAGATGTTACATGTCAACAAGCCTGGCTGGTGGAGAGCTGGGCCCAGGGGCTCCACACCCAGGCATTTCCTTTCTCGGTTTATTCCTTCTAAACGATAAAATCTGGACTCAGGCCAGTGGCAGGTCATGAGCAGGGCATGAGCATGTGGTGTCCATGAGAACATGCCAGATACTCAGTTCCAAGCTGGATCCAGAATCTCAGACACTTTCTCCCGCATTGTGGGGCTATGGGTGCATCACAGGACCCAGCGCCTGGAAGCTGGCGGACATAAGGCTGCAGGCTCAGAGCAAAGTGGGAATGAGCCCCTCATCCCGACGTGCCTGGGAAGCACTTCTTCGAGTTCTGGGAGCACAGCTAGAATGCACAACACAGGTGTGAACTGCGCAGGTCTACTTACACGTGGGTTTTTAAAAAAAATACAAGACAGTGCCATAAATGTATTTTCCTTAAGATCTTCTTAGTAACACTTTTTCTCTGGCTTCTTTTATTGGAGGAATACAGTATGTAATATATGTGTTAATTGACGTCATGCTACCGATAAGGCTTCTGGTCAACAGTAGGCTATTGGCAGTTAACTTTTTGGGGAGTCAAATGTCATCCATGGATTTTTCTGCAGAGGGTCGGCACCCTGAAGCCCCATGTTGTCCAAGCGTCCACTGTATCTGGATGTGGTTTCGGTAGTCCAGTGACTCACTGCCACTGAGGACAGGCCCTCTCTCCCACGCTTCTGCTTCGGTACCGTTTCCCCGGCAGCTGCCTCAGCTGTGAGCTCACTTACGCGATGACTGTTGAGGACGGGGTCACCTGTGTTTGCCTCGAGCCTCCATGGTTCTGAGACCCCTCACTTCAGCCCACACACGTCCACTCCACCATGGGGGGCTGTTAGCAATTCTCGGGAACTACATGTCCATCACGTAGGTCACTGGGCTTCCTCTTTGTGGGAAACATCAGTGGCTGCCTGCCTGTCTGGCAGGTTCATAATTTGCATTTTCCTGGGGACGAGGGGCGTGCAGAGTGCTAGTCCAGTGAAGCACACATCCAGACATCTATCACCATTTTACACAAAACGAGCCAGGTTGGGGTGGTTACACAAATCTGTGCACGTGCGGTAAGACTCAGAACTGTATACCGAAAAGGGAAAAACAGTCAATTTTATGGTATGTTAATTTCTGGACAACTAAATGCTCTTACTTTTAAATGTTTTTTCCAGGCTTAATGAAGCCTGGGAGAGGGCATCTGTTTACAAAACAAACCCAGAGGCACACACAGTGGACTAGCTGCAGTCCCTGCACACCCCCGGCATTCGGCCCAACATGAAGACCCAATAGGCGAGATGGGCCAGTGTGGAGGGACCCACCTGCAGCTCTCGGTGCCTCGAGGCTCAAGCTCCCCGCCGCTGTGCCCCCTGCTCACGTCTCTCTGTGGGGACGATGCTGGCCACAGGTGACGGGAGAAACCCACTTGTGGAATTTTCTCTTGGGCAACTTGTGAAAAAGCGAGGCCAGAGCGG